AGAATGATGCTTAATGATGCTTCGTAATATTCGACTATTTTAATAATCGAACGAATGCATCTTTTCGAGTCCAACCATTCAAAAAGTCGAGTAAGTGTGTTCTCCCAAACATTCGAACTATTCGAAACATTCGAACTATTCGAACCATTTGAAAATTTTATCCGAACGAGAATATTCGGTTCAATTATGCCATGATCCAGAAAAGCGAAAAGGAACGCACCCGCTTATAGTAAAGATTTTCATGTCATGCACAGCTACATCCATGATTTCGCTAGTTGTTGAGACGCTCTTTAGCAGATTCAGTTTATCATCTAATAAATGGATTACATTCCCACCAACAGCAACCACATTAAGAAGGTTGTCCTAAATTTTAGTGGCAATCATCTTTAAAGAAACTGTAGAATCTTGAATGAAAAGAACTGTGTGACTCAGCCCACCCTTGCTAGAATACATAACTTTCGCACTGGCTTATCGCCTAATTTGTCAGAATGAGCAATTGATGAGCCATTTTCTATATTCCACTCATGTACGGTAGCATCACCGCCTAAAAACATAGAATATGGACAAAAAGCCGTGATAATTTGAGACTTATTACCACTAGAAAACACGCGAGTCCCATAAGAGGCAATTGAACTAACATAAGCAGAATGACCAAGGCAGAATGACTGTACGACGAAAGCCTTCAAAAACAGCATTGAAAAGTAGCTTTCTGAAGTACATTAGAAGGAATCATAAGCAATGAGAGTTTGAAATTGTCTTTTCTCCAGTTTCATAACGAAAAACGATAACAATGCTGTCAGCACAGAGGAACTGTGCATTCATGATATTTTTTCAAGCAACGAGAACTTAGGCAACCTCAACCACCGTTGTGAAATTTTCAGCTCGTTAAATTACTAATCATCAACGCGAAAAGGAAGATTTCCACAGTAACTTCGTCTATAAAGTCTAAAAAGTGTAAAAATCAATAAACCCCTAAGGTAGTGGTAACCCGGATAAAGACAAAAACTCTGGTGATGAACCGCACATTAAATACTTGAATTAACCCATACCTGAGGATAGCGTGAGACACGAATTTTTTCATCACGATCAGCTGCCAATAGAAATCTTCCATCCTGGGAAATTGCAACATCCAACACCATAGAGATAGCACTGGAAAGCGGTTCACCTTCATATAGACTTTCCTCCCCTAGAAGATTACACTTTCAACGACAATTTAAGGAAAGACTGCATAATCACAAAGCACCATTCATGTCCACATATCCTGATTTATTACTCATTTCAACTGTATATCTGCAGACATGGCCTGAACGATCTCCAATTATTACATGTGAAATGTCCTAAACCAAAATCTAAGAGTAAATTGAGATGATTCGAAGGAATAGCTGAACACCTCATCAAAACATATGGAAGTAGGAGCTTTGGGGATCCTAAAAGCTCTGCGCAACTGTAAGGTCTTTGCATCCAGAATCAAAGCAATTTTCGCCGATATACCTACAGCTAACAGAGAACCACAACCAGAGACAGCACCACACAACACCTACAAGATTGTGGCAGACCCAGGAAGAAAAAAAGAGACGGCTGCTCACCTGATAAGCGTCAGACACATTAACTTTTGAGATCAACTTGTTCTCATCCAAAGAATTCCTTGTTATCACTGGCACCGAACTAATGGCAGTGTTCACATCAAAAACATCCTTAGAAAGGTAAATCAACTCAAAATGATAAGGTAACAAACTGAACTCACAAGAATGTCCAGACGCTCTTCAGAATAAGCAGCCGAAAAGATTTTGGATGTAGCACATATGATAAGCCTATCGTCGATGCAATGCAACGTGGCCATCCAGCTGTAACCAATTATTCTAGGAGGTGCCCCTACTTATGAGTTGGAGGCAAAAGGT